TCATTTCTGGATGTGCGTGAACGAGGAGGAGGGGGGATGACACGATCAACGACAGGGCGGCGTACAACAGGACCATTGGGCTCCTTTTTGACTTGTACAGCAGGGGTAGCCGTGCGGTTGGTATTGCGCACAGGTTTTGTGATAGCAGGAGTTCGAGGTGGAATGTTTTCATCTTCGTCTTCGTCATCACTAATAAATACCCAATTGAGTGACTGCGAAATGACCAGAACACTTATGCACACACCTGATTTCAATCGGGTCCTCGTACGCATCTACAATGTCAACATCATCTAACTCCCGTGTACCAGCTTTCTCATTGATCTGATCCTCGATGAAATGGGCACGTTCGATATGTGGTGGGCATTCCGCATCGCCTGTTGGTTTAGTGGTACGAACGAACTAAAGATGACAAATGTTAGCAATATTGTTAAAGAGTGAATAATTGACTTACCTGTTTGAATTTAGCCTCGAGTGATTTGGCAGTGCGCACAGGGCGGCTATTTTCCTCAGCCCATTGGGCGAATTCATCCGCAGCACTATTCCACGCATGTCCACCAATAGGAAGTCGATCTTCGATAATGTCAAGCAAGGCGTCAACGTCTTCGGCGGAGTAGTTGGCGACCCCAGGACCTCGACCACGTCGTTTCTTGGTGTCAGGTTCCTCCACACGCATGACAGACCCTTTGCGCTTTGACGATCCAGCAACGGGGATCGGATCAACGGCCCTTTGCTTGCCTTTAGCGGACGTCAAGGGGCGACGGCTACCGGCAATTTTTGATGCTGGATGTGCGATACGTGGTAGGATTCGGCTCGGTGGTGGGAAGTTGTCTGGGCCATCGTTTGGAAGACTGATCAATGCAGGATCAATCTGAGGTAGGGTATTTGATGAGGCTGATGTCAACGATGGGTGCTGGCCAGGTGGAAACGGAGAGTCGTTGGGACCACAGGTAGGTCGAACGGAAAACTAAATGAGTGTGAGTAACGCGGAGAAATTTTCGTGACATAGACTTACTTGTCCCGTCGTATCCCGGACCATCAGATTGGTATTAATCTGAACACAAGTTAGATGTGAAAGAGGCTCCATAAACAACATAGTTTACATACCAAAGAGCCAGATGGACGTGGTGATGCGACACACTGCCAAGATCCATTGCCAGAGCGCGTGTACTTGAGCCCTGTTGCAGGATCAGACCAAGTTTGGAGAGCTTCAGATGACATGTTAGAGATGAAGAAAGGGGACTTCGAAATCTTGACTTGACGACAACCACATACCTCACTTTTTATAGCACATCTGCCAGCAAGCTTAGATCTCCCACAACATTGAAATCTCTTGTTTATGCAGGAGCCACTGTGCCAAGTCAGTCAGTCAGAGACCAGGAATCAAGGTTAACACTCACCCACTCACTCAGGTCGACAAAAAAGACCACAGGTACCATTTATCTTGTGCAAATTTGCAAAGCTGGAAGCTGATCAATGAAGGTACACCAAGTCAATGGAATGCAAATCTACCTTAGTATCCTTCAACATGCATTGCCCAGGTCCACGTTGAATAACACGTAGCACTTTCACTGTGATTGGAACGATGACAGAGATGAATTGGGGCAAGAGCAGGGAACGTGTACCGCTTACCAACATAACAGCTGATATACACATGGTCAAACAAACAACAGAACCAGCGCTTAGAAGCTGCGTGCTCGGTGCTGAGGCGTGCTGAGCACTCGGCGCGTAGAGAGTGGTAAGTTATGGTAAATCTTATCAGTGGAATTCCAATGTCGCGGACATTGAAATTCAGCTCGGAAATGTCTGAAGACGAGTCTGGAGCTGGAAGGGGGGGGTAGAGGCCTCATCCAGATTCAAATCTGGAAGAAGGTTGGATTGAACGCCCATCCATTCAAGAAATATATTTTGATGGGACCTGCACATCGGCATCTCGGCTTGAGCAGTTTGAAGATAAATCTGGATCTGAAATCATCTTCAAACGTTACGGAAAGTTGAGATTCGCTAGCGAAGCGAGGAACGAGTGTAGCGTTAGAATAGGGTCTTTGAGCGAACGAGTGGTGCGGCACGTGCCGTTTTCTCTTCTTACCACCACCTCGTTCGCCACACAGAAGGAGTTCATTAGCTCCTTCCTCATTTTTCATTGCCTACTACACTCTTTAGAACTACACACAGTAACATTCCCTACTACACATCCCCATGCCGCGAATTCTTCAGGACCCGACCAATGTCCCATGCCCGGATTTCGCAGGAGCAGGACACGCCGCTGTCAGGCAAGTCCTGTCCAACAACGGCCAGGTAACCAACGACCAGGCTATACAACAACTAACCACTGCTTGGAACCAAACGCACGAGCTCGAAGTCGAAGCTTGGAACCAGCAAGTGCAGACAGAGCTAGAAGAGCACCAGGAGCAGGCCAGGCTGGTGGCAGAAGAAGAGACGAGACGCCAAGAGGAAGACCGACGCCTAAAGGACGAGGAAAGGAAAGAGCAAGAGAAGAAACGGCCCAAAATCAACGACTTCGACGAGGGCAAGATAATCGCCGACCACGTCATGGCTCGTCCGTCACAGTTTGCCATCGGAAAGTTGAAGTCATTCAGCTATGTCGAGTTATGGTACTTTACTGACGAAGGATGTGCTGAGGCACAGGACGCCAGCAAGGCCCAATCAGATGACGCATATGGCATCACCAAGGTCGACGACCTAGTCGCGTTCAAGCCCGTTGGATCCTTCAAAGCATCCCGGAACGTTGTCCCAGACGCTAACCTCACCTGGACGCAGATGAACATCGCGAAGAACATGCTAATTCAGTACATGGGCTTCTGCGACTGGCCCCAGAAGCATATCCAGTCATTCGCGCATTTCTACTTCAACCTCGAGCTTGAACCGATACGCTCACGGCCCCACGGTGAAAAGGTGCTCATTGTATACCAAGCCAAGGCCAGGAGACTGTGGCACGACGAGCTGTCGAGAGGCACAGGCTTTAACATCGCGCCTATAAATAAGACGCTCCTCAGCACCGTGGCTGAGGAGGTGTGGGACATGGTCAGGATGGATTCCGTCAAAAAGGTCAGTTATTCCCCTCCTTCCCCCCCGAATTTCCAACATACGCTGACTGCTTCTACCCACCCTTCCCCCCCACCCTTTTTCCTCCACGTCTGCCATACCATGCCATCCCGCCACCTTATTGCCATCTGCCATGCCTTGCCATCACGCCAAATGCCCACAAAACAACACTATAACACCTGAATCCGACGCCTCGCGATGCCACTATCGACAACAACCATGCCTCGTCACTCCACACCACTGACAACCATGCCACGCCATGCCACTAACGACATTGCCATTGCAGCATGATGCCATAGCCATGTCCCCAGCACGGGACCGGGACAGGAGAAGCTCCAGGATGGGCTCATCCTCGTCTCCATCCAAACGAGGTCGCGCGCAATCCCCCTCACGCTCGCGCTCTCGCTCGCGTTCGCATTCCCCTCCCCGCCAGCGCCGTCGTCGTTACGCCTCGCCAGAGCGCTCCTCCAGAGATGCTGGTTCACAGGGCAGGCGCAACCGTCAGGCCACAAACGGCAGAGGCAGAAACAGAAGCGGCAATGCTTCGTTTTTTCAAGGGGGCACAGCGGGACGTGGCTCCTCCGCCTGTGTCGTATGCCTGGGACGCCACGAGCACGATTATGCCAAATGCTCCGCCACCAAGCTATGGAACGGGGGGAAGGTCTGGGTACGAAGAGCCGACAATGGGCGACTCGTCTCCATCGACGGGCTCCCCATTTGTTTCAGCTTCCAGACCTCAGCAGGATGTTCAGACACTGTACACCCCTCTCGGCACACCTGCTCAGGGTGTGGGAAGTCAGGGCACGGCGCTCAGCAATGCCCTCAGGTCCAGAAGAACTAACCCCCGCACCCCTTACAAGCCAGAGGCATGGCGTAGTCAACTCGACAGACACAGTCTCGACTCCCGTTATCCAACATTATACCACAGCCTTACGCACGGCTTTGATCTCGGGATTCCTAATATATCTCAATCATATGTTCCAGCTAATAACCCGTCTATTAATAAGTTTCTTGAAGAATATGAGGAAATTGTGGAGAAAGAATTCCGGAAGGGCAGATACATTGGCCCCTTCTCCAGGGCAGAACTGGAATCTGTCATTGGACCCTTCCAGTCATCCCCCCTCTCCCTTGTTCCCAAACCTGGAAAACCGGGAAAATATCGCGGGGTGCATGACTTCTCCCACCCGCGTCAGCCATCGACAAATCCAATCTCATCTATCAATTCTGCCATCAATGCACATGATTTCCCCTGCACATGGGGAACCTTTTCCACGATATGCCTCATCATTTTCCGACTACCACCCGGCTCCCAGGCCTCCATTCGAGATGTCGCTGAGGCTTACAGGACCATACCTGTACATCACAGTCAGTGGCCAGGTTTGGTTGTGCGACTACGAGGTGCAGACACCTTCGCCGCCAACACATGCAACAACTTTGGCCTCACCTCTGCAGGTGGGGCCCATGGACTTCTTGCGGATGCAGGAACGGACATCTTCCGTGCGAACGGAATTGGTCCCTTATCAAAATGGGTCGATGACCACATTTTCTTTCGAATTCCCCGCTCCTGCCTCAGCGTGTACAATGCCCAGCGCCAATCCTGGCATCAACTGGTCAAAACCAATGGAGGACGCCTACACGAAGGTAGTCGTATTTGGTACAGAGGCGACACCATGCCTGATGGGCGCCCAGAGGAGTTTGACGAGGACATGGCCAGCCCCATACGCGATCTCTCGAGCGTATCCGCACATTCTGCCAATGATGCTCTTTTTACATACGCTGACGAAGATATTGATCTTCTTTCAGATGAATTGGGCATTCCGTGGGAGAGCTCCAAGACCATCCCCTTTGGCTCAGTGGTCCCATACCTCGGCTTTGTATGGGACCTCGAGGCGCGCACTGTGGCCATCCCAGCGGAGAAGAGGCGCAAATACCTCAACGCGATTGAGGAATGGGGGAAAAAGCCAACACATGCACTGGCAGAAGTACAAAAGCTATATGGTAAGTTGTTGCACACTTCCCTCGTCATTACTGCGGGGCGCGCGTACCTTACGAATTTGGAAGCCATGCTCTCAGGTTTCAATAACAGTCCTTTCGTGCCACACACCCCACCCCGCAATACAGCTGACGACCTTCAATGGTGGACAACACGCCTCCAATCTCCCACCCTCTCAAGGGACATTCCTGGCCCAGTACCACTCAAGGACCTCGACGCCTTCTCTGACGCTAGCTCAGGTTTTGGCATCGGCATCACGATTGGAAAGAGGTGGCGCGCCTGGCGTTTACTCCCTGGCTGGAAAGCTGACGGACGAGACATCGGTTGGGCAGAGGCAGTCGGATTCGAGCTCCTCAGCCTCGCCATACTGTCATCCGGCGACAGAAGTTCTCACTTCAAGGTTTATGGAGATAACAAAGGAGTCGTCGAAGGATGGTGGAAGGGACGTAGCCGAAACAAGCAGACCAACATCGTCTTTAGACGTGTTCACGCCATTCTGGAGACCCGGCAGTGCACCATCCACACAAGATATGTCCCGAGCAAAGATAATCCCGCTGATGAACCATCCAGAGGAATATACCCACGTCTTACACATCTCCTGCCCCATATTCCCATCCCCCCAGAACTGCACCACCTCATCGTCGACTTCGACTCTGAACTCGCCATGGCACGCTCTGGTGAGCACCTCCTACCAAATGCCCAACGCAAGCCCCAACACGAGCTTTCAGAAAACGAACGAGCCTCAATCAACGCCGAGCTTGATCGCCGGGGGGAGGAATTCCTCTCCTGTTCCTCATACGATTAACCAGGAACGTCGAGCCTGGAATGCTCAGCTCCCAGCCCCAGCCTCGGATAAGCGTCCACGACCTGCACCATACCGCAAGAATCTTACTCCTCTCCCTTCACCCCTTCGACCGCATTGCCCAGCCAACCAAAGACTACGCCTATGGCGCCCACTAGTGCCTCGTGCCCAGAGGTCCGCTCAAATGTCGGATGAAGACATCAAGCGCATTGAAGACGTCCTAGCCTATGCATGGGAGTTGGATACACACGCAACATATGCCTCTGGCCTCCTCAACTTCATGGTTTTTTGCGACCAGAAGAACATCCCTGAAAAAGACAGGGCCCCAGCCAGCCAAGTACTAATCATGTCCTTTGTGTCTACTCTAGCTGCTGCATACTCTGGCTCAGCAATCAGCAACTATGTCTACGGTGTACGTGCATGGCATTTACTACATGGTGTTCCATGGAAGATTGACAAACCCGAACTGGAGGCCCTTTTGAAAGCAGCTGAAAAGTTAACCCCCTCTTCCTCCAGGAGAAAGAAGCGGCGACCCTATACAATTGATTTCATGCTGGCCATCCGGAACAACCTAGCCTTGGACACCCCCCTCGGAGCTGCCGTCTTCGCCTGCCTAACGACCTGTTTCTTTGCAACCGGTCGCGTTGGAGAATTCACAGTCCAAAAGCTCGACATCTTTGACCCCAGCATACATGTCTCCAAGGCCCGTGTCAGCTACGACCAGAACAGAGAAGGGCAACAAGTCACGGTTTTACACCTGCCACACACCAAGTCAGCGCCACAAGGGGAAGACGTATGCTGGGCAAAACAGGCAGGGCCCATAGACCCGAATGCGGCGTTAGCCCATCATCTCGAGGTCAACAACCCTCCCCAGGAAGGCCACCTTTTCGCATACCGCCACAAGAACAGCCACCGGCCGCTCACGAAGTCCAAGTTCCTAGCGGAACTGGCGAAGGCCGCACGTGCAGCTGGCCTGGAGCCCCTGCAAGGGCATGGCATCAGAATTGGCTCTACACTCGAATATTTGCTCAGAGGCGTGCCTTTCGATGTCATGAAGGTGAAGGGTCGTTGGTCCAGTGACGCCTTCACCCTGTATCTACGAAAACATGCACAAATTCTCGCCCCATACATACAAGCAGCGCCAGCCGTACACGACACGTTCGTCCGTTTGACCATGCCAGCAGTGCGCTAACAAGGTAAGCATCCGAGCTTCTCCTAATGGGTTGGGTCCGAGACTCACTCGCCGCGTCGAAGACTCCAGATGCCATGGGTGTCGCAGATCGCCTCGGACCCTCCGGGAGACTCTTTGCCAGATCGGAAAGCGCTTCGCGCTTTCGCCCACTTGCTTGCCTTTATCTACATATTTATTCATTCGCTATTATCGCTCATTACAAATACTACCTCTAATCAATCGATTTTAAGTGTCATTCCTGCATCTCCATTTAGGCTCAATCTCTGTGCAAACACACAGTGATACTCAAAGATTGAGATTCGCTAGCGAAGCGAGGAACGAGTGTAGCGTTAGAATAGGGTCTTTGAGCGAACGAGTGGTGCGGCACGTGCCGTTTTCTCTTCTTACCACCACCTCGTTCGCCACACAGAAGGAGTTCATTAGCTCCTTCCTCATTTTTCACCCACCCTCCACTCCCAAAACTTTAGCATTTTGACTGGCAACATAGTCTTTCGGATGGCCCGAGTGCATCCGCAAGACGGGCCCACCCGCCCGTCGCAGATCGCCTCGGACCCTCCGGGAGACTCTTTGCCAGATCGGAAAGCGCTTCGCGCTTTCGCCCACTTGCTTGCCTTTATCTACATATTTATTCATTCGCTATTATCGCTCATTACAAATACTACCTCTAATCAATCGATTTTAAGTGTCATTCCTGCATCTCCATTTAGGCTCAATCTCTGTGCAAACACACAGTGATACTCAAAGATCATCCACTCATGCCATTTTGATCTCACGGAATGAGCCGTCTTAAGCCGCATCGTGCGAGGTTCCCTAATATGGTATGCGGGTGGTACCCTCATGCTGTGGGAACAACGGTCGGGATCGGAGGATCTGAGGCCTCTTGGGCGAGCTATTGCCAACAACACTAGTCACATGTCACCACAGCCAAACAAAGCCAAAGATTATTGATTCAACCCAAGTTCATCTTGACGCTGATCTCGGCAATGGACTTGACAAGGTCTGATATTCTCGCTTTACTAGGCTGCTTAAAGATAGCCTTACCAAAGGAAACAACATTATCCGAAGGAGCCCTCAAAAAGCGCCTTTCACAAGCCCTAGACGCCGCACAATCGTTCGATAAAGTCATCGGCTTATCAACACCCATCAAACCCCTGGACTACGGAACATGGCCTTCCTCCTCACAGCCCCTCTCAGAAGCTCTCAGGCGGGGCAATCTTATGGAAGCCACACAGAATTCGATGATGGGGTTGACGCAGGAACAAAGGGGAATGATTCCCAATTCGACCAAGGAGGAAGATACTTTCACGGAGCTCAGGCAGATCTTGCTCAATTTTGGGCATCGGTATGATGCCGGGGGACGTGTTTTCGTTTTGCAAGATACGCAGCAGGAGTCGGCGATCATTGTCAGAGTACGTCAAGTTCCTCCTGTCCATCCCACCCCCATCATTTTTATTGGTTCTGATCTTTTTCACCAGCTCTTGGATGTACGTGCTATCGATGATAAGTCCCCGCTTCTGGTACTCCTGTATAAACCCGTGAAGCCAACCCCCGCGAAGCGTCTTTACGACGTTATAAGCCCATTCATTGCACCGAGTACAGCAATCATTTCGGTATCCACGACAGAACTGGAACGCAAGATGTTCTTGAAACTGGTTTCCCAAAACGCGAAGCATGTCTCGTCGAGCTATAAACCCCAACGGTCCCCGACAGAGAGCGACTTCACACTTTCGGTGATGCTCCCACTAGGCCCACTGAACATGCACGATCTGGGCAAGTTGAACAGTAACTTCGGATGTGAATTATGCGGGAAACGCGAAGCCAGCAAGTGCACTGGATGTTTCTCCGTGGTGTATTGCGGAAAAGGTGAGTGTAGACCCGCGCCAAGGCGTCTTTGCGTGTTCTAACGGCTTAACGTTCTCAGAATGCCAGACCGCGGATTGGAAGGATCACAAGAAGACATGCAAGACGCTCAAGGGAGGCACATGGCTCACGATCCACTTTGAGCGGCCCCCAGGCTTCTCAACGATCATGAATCGGTACGACAGCCCTCGCGAACAAAGCCTACGGACCACTGTACAAAGCGACGCCGACGGGCCACCGCCCAACATCCACTCTAACAAAATATTCCTCGTCAAAATGCAGAGCTCACTCACGCTCACCTCGGACGCCGACGCGCAGATGTTGATCTACGACCGACAACGGAGTTTTCAGGCATATTGGAAGAAATACGGCGGCTCCAGCGGGCATGATGACTTTGAGGTGTATCGCAAAGCGGAGAGGGAGATTGCGGGTGGGTGGCAGGGGATCAAGATGTATAGGTGGGCGAGGCGTGTTGGGGATTATGAGCTGAGTGTGTGTTTTGATAGGGCGCCTGGGACTGATCCTGTGTGGTGAGAGCTTATGGGAAGGTGTACTTTTTTTTTTCTTTTCATATGATCAAATAACCGTGGGCTTCGATCTTTTGGATGTTGGATTCCGTCGGCGGACATTTTCTATCAGGCTCGGTCAAGCCCAGCTTTCAACGTCAAGGAAGAGTAAGTAGCCAATACGACTTTGACTTTTGACAAGTAACGAAATGTACACCCTCTCGTCACTCATACCCCCCATGTCTGGATTGGATCATCGACGGTTGGCGTACTTTTAACTTTTGTACACACCCTGTCTACATATCGTCACCGTCTGTGGACACTCCCAAAGCGACATAAACTATACTACCGTGACAGCGGGTCAATACAACAACTTATGATCAGATCCATCAAACAACTTCAATGAACTTGGACCTACATACTTTGACAACCCGATCACGGCTCGTCGCACACTTGAAAGCTTCGACTCGGACGAACTTACAGTGACGGAAAATCTGATAAGGTTTTTTCATAATGAGTAGCATGCGGTTTTGTACTGCGGCCCAGCCTTCGATCGACTGGTCTTGGTGGGACTTGGAAGCAATTTGTGGGTGCGACCTGTGTAAAAATTCGGTCACTCTACGCCGTTCAGCGCTTGGCGTTCAACTTGCATATTCAAGGCTGCGCTTCGTTAACTTGCTTTACTTTAAGAGGAGATGAAAAACAATTTTTAGTGAACAACTACCGCGTTTCCTTAGGGGAAAAGGGAACAGCACCAGTCTTCCCAAATGAAATTCCTCGTATAACAAAATATGCCGTGTATGCGTTTATAACAACAATGCCTAAAGATGATGATAATGATACAACATGTACAGTCAACGCTCTCTACTCGGAAAAAAGGTGTCCGCCGGAAGATTGAAGAATGAATGAAATGCTAGCCTTAATATTTTTTTTCTCTCCCTTGCACTCTTTTACGGCGTCCTCGCGGATCTAAAACGGGGGGTGCTTAAACTCCTTCGTAATAATTTGAGCTTCCGGATCCAGTTCGTTCCCTCGAATTTTCCCAGTAGCATCGTATTCCAGATACCCAGCCTTGTCTGACGGGCTCTGACTCTCGAATGTCTCCATCTTTATCAGGGAATAAGGAACATCAATGGGTGTTCACCGGAGGACGGGGATAAGGCTTTACCTGAACGTGAACGCCGTCAGTCTTGGTTGTGGATACCTTTGTCGACAGTTTTGGTCTCAGCATGCCCGAGGCGCCTGAACGGAAGGCAAGTGTAGAGTTTTGCGTAGACGAACTGGGTTATCAACGTCGTCAGCTTTGAGTCAAATTATTATACGAGGTTACGTACGGGAACACCTCGGGACCTTGGGATGTGAATCTACTTAGACGGCGAACAACGCGCGTGGCCACAATCTAGTTGGTCCGCGATATTAATGATACCGTTGGCAAGTGGAGGTTGTGCTCACCGTTGACGCAATGGCGGCAGGGACATTCGCGATTATGGACATAACAGGGTTGAGGTTGAGGAGCATGAAGATCTGCGACGGACATATATGAGAATATACGCGCCGTAGTTATTCGATACACTTACCGTGGCGATAAGATTCGCCAAGAAACTGCGCATATATTCATGAATGTGAGAGGATGGTCGTCGGATTGAGACAAAAAAAAACTGACGCGATAACAAAGTAGATCAAGCCGTCGTTGAAGATGAGTTCAACCAAACGTGATCGACCGCCAGTGGGATTGAGAAGCTTGTACCCAGTCAATACCAAGACGAGAAAGTCGAAAGCCATGGAATAAATGAACGTGATAGCGAGAACTTTGTTATCTGTTTGAGTGATGATGCAGCCTTGACCAGGTACCCATGCCGCTTTCAAAAGGATTCCTGTAGCGCTTTGTTAGTAGATGAATGGCAGAGGTGGAATAAACTTTACTTGCCGTGCAAGAGGAGCGACCAGTGACCCATGATGACTAAAACCAAAGCTACGACAATGTACCATTTTTTTGACCACACAGCCATGCTGAAGACGCAGTGAGCGACGTGATGATTTAATAGGAGGGCAATTCGTACGTGCGTAGCGAAAGATTGATGCTCGCGAGACCAATGGCGGCATTCCCGACGCACTGAATATTTTGATGAGGTAAGAAAACTGAATATATGCGCGTTATAAAGGGTGTACCTGATTGAACGTGTACAGAGCTTGACAGTTAACCTCACTGGAATGAAGGAATTTGAGAACGCATTCATAAAGAAGCGAAGCGGGAGGGTCACCTCGTGACGTTCAAAGCAATCGCACTGAATACGAAAGATTAGCGGATAACATCATCGAGAGAATGGCTACGACGTACATTCCCATCATCGCGAAGAGCAGGGCATATCGATTCAGGAAGTAGAAAAGCTTTGAAGACCCGTTAGATCTGGAATGCAAGCCATCGCGCACAAAGGGCGTACCATCGGCCAGCGAAAGGTCTTCTGCCCCGATAGATACTGCCAGTCGAAGTCCAAGGACGTAAACCATTCCCAGCTACATTGGATGCTTCAGAACGGGTGTGATAACGGACGAATTGAGCGCATACATGTACAGTCCGAGCAATGTATGCATGAATTTGTTAAATGCAGCTGCAGGAAAGCCGTTAGCACGATAACACTGCCAGATCATGCAACAATCTTACCAGCATCTTGCTGAATTTCAGCTGTGGACATCCAGTTGGTCATGGTGGCTAAGACAAAGGGGGTAGCAGTGATGAGCGGGGCGGGGGGAGGCAACGGAAGTCGGATCGGGGATATGCTGGCTTCTTATAGAACCACCTGGAAGTAGAATCTCCCAAATAACATGATCACGGCCCGTTTTGATAACTTTCTAGAGTTAGATTCTGCCTGAGAAGATACGACCCCTTCTCTCAACGTTGGTGAAGGGCCGCAGCGCCCTTGAAGGCAATAGTTTGTGTTGAAAGAAAAAAATATAACTGGAAAGGTATCGTTGGTATGACATTTTTTAGCTTGTAAATGCCATCTCTAGTGCGTGCAAATGGGGTTGAACAAGCACACAGACATATTCGGGTTCAAAATGAAGGGGTGAGCAGAAGGGAGGGCTACGTGATCCGATTGTCTGTGTTTGGCTGATCAAACATCTATCCTTTTTTAGCGGACTTCGCTCTTCCCATTTGGACGATGCACTCTGATCATGCCTTCCAACATCTGTCAAGGATTAAGATGCTCCTCATCGTTGCGTTCCTGCATGTCGTCAACAGGAAGTTACATTTGCCTCTTGGCTGGCGGTGCTCTTCGTAACACGTCCATCAGCCTCCGGGCGCACCTCTCTTACAGCGACCCTGCTTGATCAGGCTATTGCTACCTAAAAGGACCTCGTTGAACTCTCACCGAACCTCGCTCCTTGTGCTCTGATGGATCAACGTATCAAACAACGTGCCATATCAATAAAGTGGAGTGGATTCATCGTTCTGGCAGAACAATCCGTCTCCACCTCGTCTATAGAGAAAAAAAAACAGGATGAAGAAATCTTCCAGTCAAGGGAACAAACAGATTGAGACAAAGTTAACATCGCTCTAGCTCCCTACCCTCATGCTCGTTATCAGAAGGGGTACACGAAAACCGTCCAAAGTCCGTTTCGGAACGCGTGTGCGCGTGGTCAACGCGCATTCGCCGTCTTGTTTTTATGACCCTCTAAAAAAACAGAGCGATCCAAGGGTTGTTACCGCGAGTTTCCGTTAGGCTTTCGCATAAGCGGAGGAGTCTCTTGGGCGTTCAGAGGCTAAGGTATTCTTTATTGCGACATCACTATCTTCCGTGAATGACGGTATGATTTATCTTCAGAAAGCGCAGATATCGTAGACGAGAACCGTCTCTCGTTTTGAGGAATCGCGGTGTGCGTCGTCAAATGCGTTGGTGTCCTCTTATTTCTCGACCCCCCAAAAATATGATGAAGATCAAGCCTCCATCAAGCACAAGAGATCTTGCGGGTATGTTTGGTGTTGAACCTGAAAATGTCACGGATTCTCGCCAGTCGCACAACCGACAAAAAGTAGGTTTTCGATTCTTTAGAAATCGCAGCCATGCTCCTCGGCTACATACCAATAAGGTGGTAGCTCCATCGAATGGACACAGTCAATTTTACATCACAGTTTACTCTGACCGTTTTGCTCCGTTTTGAGAATTCTATTCCGACCGCGGAGGAACTACTGTCTGGATTGTCTATGGGTCAGATCGCCAGGGATTGGTGTAAAGCCAGGGATTGATGTAATATACATGCTTCTTCAGAACGGCCATAGATCATACGACACATAGATAAGTTCCTGACATAAAAGAGGTTTGGACGAGTCGAGAGTACAAATATTCAAGGTCCGCGGCGCGCAGACCACTTAAATTGAGGATAAGCTTAGTACTCGAAAGAGGACGATACTTTATATTTAACTTGAACAACCACCGGAACGTCCTTCTTTTTTTCTTTATGAAAAAAGAGGGACATCCCATCATCACTGCCAGCCTGAGTGTTGTAGCATCACGGGTCGCGTTGTAAACTTCTACAACATCAATGCATCATACATGCATTTAAATCCTACCCCAACCGGGGCGCACCGCGTTCCGCGACTGTCGGCCGAAGAAAACATATAGACGTGTACCTGGATCATGCGCATACCACGAGTTGTCGGATCGCTTATAATCATGCTGGGTGGGCCAAGCTCATGTGATAAATTGCGCTAGCCACACCGACGGCTATGTAGACAACAGACTCGTATTTTCCTCACGTAGATCAAACGCTAATACCAGCAGAGAAGTTCAGTTTTGAATTAGTATTTGATAGAAAATTCCACAAAACTAACAGTGTGATCTGGATGCGTAGCCTCGGCATTTATATCTTGTGGTGGTGTAAGAGATGAGAAGAAGTTGAGGAGCCTGAGGTTAAATCAAGATTATTTGAGCGTGATGTCGACGTCCGAAATACGCCCAGCGGTCAGATATACCGCCGTCCATGTGGCCGATTTTTATTCGTTCCTTCCCTTTGCTACGTCCGAGTGGAATTACTTGCAGTTTCGAATGCTCATGGCATTTTCGGCCCTCGCGTTTCTCGAAAATATATACAAGATGACAACGTTCGTGTGCCACTCTATGAGGAGTCCGACAATCAGCACGGCGGAATGCGTAGACCGGTAAATTTCCACACACAAACATCCCGCTGCTGCCAGAACTCCTCAACGCGGTCCTATTGACGTCTGCGTGCCGTCCTGTGTTATTTGTGATTGCACGTCATAAGGAGGAACACGGTGATCAGAGGAACACGGTGGTCAACGCTACAATCAGCGCATTCGCCATCTTGTTTTTATGAGCCCCCAAAACAGAAATGTTCAGTGAATACAATTCTTTACACTGTTGAAGGAAACAAGGATGTAAGCAATCGCTCTGCTAAGATATCATGCATATCTACTGTCAAGTGCAGGTCATCGGCCCAGATTCCGCCACCCTCAGTGGTGGGATCGTCTTCGTTGAAGTCAAATTCGCAAGGTTCTTCAAGCACCTCCATCAGCACCCGATAAGAGGAGAACAATACTGTCGTGGCAGGCTTGGTGCTCGTGGCGAACTCGGCTGTCCCTCTCTTTAGAATTATGTTCCAGGCCTTGACACGCTCCTCAATTTTGTCCATGGAGCCGGAATCAGCCGCTATGAGAGGGGGGTTAGATTAGTAAGAGGAGAGACAGGAATACTGTGTGCGCACACCTTGCGGAGAGTGGTCGATGGGTGGAATATCCACAAGAACGAAATTCCTTGCCCCCGCTTTGGTGTAAAGGTCGTCCACGCCGTCCAGGACGGCTTCTACGATGGGTTCCAAATCTTCGGCGTCGGTCCTCCCACAGTCATTAATGCCGAGGAAGATCACTACCAAGGAAAGTCAGTTGACCTTGTCGAGTTGAACGACTATAAAGAAATGACAAATAGAAAGTTGTCGTTGCCGGGTCAAGTACAGAAGTCGGATCGGACGGATCTTTCTTAGGAAACATCATGAAGAAGCGCAAGAGCTGGTCTGAGAGGTCATCTTCAGCAGTTGCTCCGGGTGACGCGAAGTTGTGCACTTTGACAGAATTGCTGTGTTCCCGTAATCGCTTTTTCATACGGTTAATCTATAGAGGTCGATGAGTAGAGATCAAGTATACACATGTTCTAGGACGCACCCAGGTCTCACTCTTGCTCGACTTACAATATGAGCCACCGCTGTGAGGGATGGTGTGTGTCATTGGATTCAACTGGATGGTGAAAGCATCTTACAATACTATGATGTTCTTGAAAGACTCCCGTCCATGCCAGTGAGTGCCTCTGAACATCAGTGTTAAATAGCCTGAAGAGGTATTACGTCGGCCACATATGGACGATAGATCAAGGGAGGTGACTCACGGTTTTCTATTTCCGGAGTGCTCTGTGTCCTCTGCCTTTTGTTTGGATGTACGTTTTCTGAACCTTCGGAGCGAGGCTCATAGGGTGGATCATTACTAAGTGGTCCGCTGCAAACATTCGCCTCGACTGAGGGGTCTCGCGTACGCTTGCAAGCGGTGGGGGTCATGAAGATGCCACGGAAATGTCCAAGGGTGTCGTGGGGAGATTCAACAAAGTTGTCGGGGCGCCAATTGCCAATGGCGGGTGCGCGACGCTCACGTGACAGAATCGCGCCAGTCACACCGACGTGATCTGATAAGGGAAAGCTGTCCCTTGACTCAAAGCCAACCCTTTTAACGGAGGCGGGGCGGAGAAGGACCCCCAACTTGCCTCTGACGACCACCATATGCCTACTGGAACGCCCTTCAACGCATGTATACCCCCCTACAACATTCGGGTGGACGAATTTGCGTCGTCCGCGGCGCTGGAAGAGCTCGGGACGACTCCAGCTCTTCATCTGTTAACCCACACGCATTCGGACCACATAAATGGGCTTTCCGCAAAGTCGTTTGGTCATACGGTGTATTGCTCGCAAGATGCGAAGGAGATGCTGTTGAGGCATGAGGTTTTTGCGGAACGGGAGCTTCATGAATTGGAGTTGAGAGCAGAGAAAGTTCGGACTTACTCGCATTTGAAGGTCGACCCGTTGCTCTTCCCGGATGGGACGATGTATTATACTGGCTCAAGGGATCTCTTGGTATGTGGTTTGATCTTGTTCAGTCGTTTACACGTGGTTACGGGTTCTTCAGAAAACTCTGCCCCTGCACACTCCTACCAAGATGGATATTTCCGGTGACGAGGCTGTTACGATAACGCTTTTGGATGCAAATCATTGCCCAGGAGCCGTCATGCAAGTTTGACTGAAATACTATCACGGAAATCATTCTTATCCATTGTGATAGGTTCTTGATCGAAGGTCAGAGAGGCGCCATATTGCACACTGGTGACTTTCGCGCGGAGCCTTGGTTTTTGGATTCTATCGTCCGAAACCCATTTCTCCAGCCATATCTGTACCAAGGACCAGATTCCGTTCCGTTCACAATCAGCAAGACGCTTGAAGCCATCTACCTGGATACTGCATGCGTACTTTCGCCACTAGCAGTCCCAACAAAGGTTATTCATTTTACAACTGATGCGTTTCTGTGCTCATGGCGTACTTGATAAGGGATGCGCCACGTCAGGTCTTATCGAACTGATGAAGGTATTTCCGTCATCAGTTTACTTTTTCATCAACTCTTGGACTTGGGGATACGAAGACGTCTTGAAAGCTATAGCGCAGTCATTCCAATCCAAGGTAGTCCTTCCTACATTCTCTTGAGGTTTACTAAATGAGTTGGAGTAGATCCACGTGGACCGATACAAGTATTCCATCTACCAGCACCTATCGGACCCCTTCCTGCGCCTCATCACGACCCGTGATTCCTCTTCCACCCGCTTCCACGCATGCGAACGGTTCCATCGCTGCGAATATGTGATGGTGGATAACGAACAGGACAATTACTCAAACGCGGTGAGCCATATGGGCAAACGCGTCATCTACGTGAATCCGGTCTCCATGGGAAGCGTGAGCTGGGACCTCTACCTTCGAGATACGAAGGCTCGGCTTAACGCTGGGGAGGAGATCAATAACCTGGTACGATTTACTTTGCCTTGAAGAACTGAACCTGTGTAACTCAGTCCCTTTCCTTCTTACTTACAGCTGGTGCCTCTTTCGCGACATTCACCACTCCCAGAGCTCCAGGCTTTCGTCTCACTCTTCCGTCCCCGGCGTGTGGTACCCAACACACTGGACCCACGGCTCCACGGTCTGGATTGGGCGTGTACAGATCGCATGTTTGCTGACCATATCCACCCCTCCGCTGCGACACCCTCTGATTCGGGTAGAGTCTCCGGCGGATTGTCAGACATCTTGTTACCCCATGCACAAGACGACGGTGATGTCGCACTGAAGAACCTTGTGGGCAATGGAGCTGCTGATGCCGCCGCACGTTGGGCAGATGGTGGGAAGCTTTTAAAGAAACTCGATGTCGTCAGGAGTTATCTGGATGCAGAACAAAACGCGGTTATTGACCGTCTTTTGGGTATATCGAAACCTGCACCCCTAGTCAGAGCTACGAGCGCTCCGACAAGGCAAGACAAGGGAAAAGGCAAAGCCATAGCCCCACGGTATGGCAGGGAAAGCGATGGAGACACCGACTTCAGTGATAGTGACGACGAAAGGGGGAGAACTGCGCATTTGCTTTTCGCTAGCCTGGCAGGGATTGAAGAGAAGGAGAACGCGTGGTGGGTGTCTTCGTCCCCGTCACAGAGAGTCAGTGACGTGGATGTTCTCCCCGAGCAACCCGCTCCTGTTGCTGGTCCGTCTTCGAGGAAAAGTGGTGGTGGTAGCGGTGAGCCCCGAGGTGGGGATGCGTCGCGGAGGAAGAACCGGCTTCTGACACCTGTGTCTTCACCCATTCGACCTCGTCCGATGAAACCTTCTCCGCTACAGATGAAGATGAAACCTCTTCAGCCATCACCCCCTCTCAGCACACCACAGCGGTTTAGGAAACTGAGCCCTATTGGGAGGGGTTATACTCTCGGCTCTCCTATATACATCCTATCCTCTTCGCCACAGGCCATGCATTCTAGCCATGGTCTCCCTGTTGGAAAGGGACTCGCATCCGAGTCTGCCACCAAAGGCGACAAACCAAGAGCCCCCTCGTCTACGCGATCGCTGCTGACGAAGACAAACTCCCAAATCATCCATCGGCAAGTGCCTGCTGTGGAGACAACCCCAGTCGCGAAGAAAGCAGGTCATAAGGCCTCTCGCATCGAATTAAAGCCCATCTCTCATTCTCCCTTCTTTACTCCCAAAAAAATGGAGAACCTCACCGCCTTATCTGCCAATAAGCCTGCCACTCTCATCGCCAATCCCAAAACACCCACCAAATCAGCTCGAAAACGAGTCGCTCATGAGTTGCCCATGGAAGCTATCGACCTGAAACGTCCTCGCCTTGACCCTCCAAAAGCAAGGCCTTCAACCCCAAGAGCGAAAAACATTGCGAGCAGTCCAAAGAAGGCAGCAGCACGAGGATCTTCGAGCTCCACGAGGACACCCCTCCCTCTCTCCCCTGTAAAGGTTTCTAGCGCTAAACGTCAACGCTCTGAGCTACAGCTCCAACGTATTCGAATCGGAGAACGTCTCGCGCAGGCTCGGCCGGATCTGAACGCACCCACTTACGAGAAGAAGCGGGCAAGTTTGATTGCACGGTATTCTACCATCATGGAGGAGGTGCCCCAGAAAGAGGTACAAAGGGGGAAAGGCAAAGAACGCCCGTCGAGTTCGATACCACCAGCACTAATCCGCCCGGTTGTAGCACAAGAGAAGACGATACTGTCCTTTGAGACCGTGGATGACGATGACGGTGGGATGGATTGGAATCGGAGTAGGGAACTTGCGGCACGGCTGAAGGAGGATATCGCTAATGGGAGACGGCCGGTGTTACCTGCGCTGCTATGTGCCGAGAGTCAGTCCCAGGATTGGGAGAGTGGGAGTGGGAGTTGAGGGGGCGTTAATGTTATTTTTAAGTTATGGTATGTTGTGATACGAAATTGCCGACGATATGCGAGTTTATGACTATCAGGATAAAGGAATACAAGAACTTTCCGAATCTTGGGATTCCTTTCAAGATAATTAGCTGCCCCGACGTGTGACGCGACCCAGAGTCTAAAACTCAATTAAATTCATAGACTTCTCCTCCCGTCTTCTGTCCTTGTTGCATTCATTATCGTCCCCCTCTCAATGGGAGGAGTAACTCCACTCGCTAGGTAAACACAACCTGCGTGGTGGGAAAGTCGCAAGGAGGTTAGTGTCAAATTGCAGTCACATAAATTGTCGTGACCCACTCTCAACCAGAACCCAATACGCAACTGCATGATAACAAAAAAGATGAGCGCTATATAAATTAGAACAGGCTATCCGCACCCTGCAGCAAAACTGCATCCGCAAGTTGCAAGTTGAATACCCCAACCGGCCATACACCCCGAAAATTAGCTATTCGATCACGTTTTCTTCCTCGACATCTCGCCCCTTTCTTCACTCTCCGCCTACTCTTGGCCACCCTGTGACGATAACCGCCTGGAAGTGATCTTCACAAGGTTGTAAAACCAACCTTTCACCAAAGCCTTTCAGCGATTGCAATGGCCCACCGTTTGGAGTCAGATGCGAAGTGTGCGTGAACAGTTCGCATATCCGAGTCATTTGTTCATTCCTATGATTTAGGCTGGCGTGCACTCGAACTTTGCCGTACTGGCTTTTTAAGGTGAGGTTCTCCCTCACCCTGATTTTACCAAGAGATATCTTTTGCTCTTGTCCAATCAAATTTAGGCGTGGTCTCGACGTCGGCGAAATAAGCCCAGGGGTCAATATAGCGCGCACGTAAGCCGTCTATGTGGTCGATTTTTATTCGTTCCTTCCCTTCGCTACATCTGAGTCAAATCACCTGGAGCTTCGAATACTCACATTCTCAAGGGCCGCGCTTCCCCAAAAACAACAAGATGCCGACGTTCGCGCCCCATCTTTGTGAGGAGTCGGACTATCAATACGTCGAAATGTGTAGACCGGTAAATTTCCGCACACAGATATCCCGCTGCTGCCCGAACCCCTCAGCGCGGTCCTGTGGACGTCGGCGCGCCATTCTGCGTGCTTACACAAAAGCACGCAAGAAGGAGGAACATTAGTACTGCGCATACTAAACGGCGAAGTGTCATCAGCAGCCGCAGCTTTGCCGGCTCAGGCGCACCAATGCCGTCATTCCGAATTCATAAAAATAATGAGATCACCGCTGGGTCGTATATATATAAGCAATCGTGCGGCTCGTCGTCCCCATTCCTTAGTTGTTATGAAATTCACGAGTGTCGTAACTTCCATCGCTGTCCTCCTCGTTTCTGCCGTTTCCGCACTTTGGGCTCTACCTATTTCACTTCAGCCCAGGGATGTATTTGTTCCACCCGTCACCTATCCACACAACAAGACCGTCTGGATCGTTGGTCAACATCACAACGTTACATGGTATGGCCAATCCACTTGACTGAGCTGGACAATCCTGAGGGTTAACGTTTTGATAGGGATACATCGGATGCTCCAGTAAACATTACCAACAAGATCGGCATGATTTTTCTCAGGAAGGGAGGACTCACGACAAACTGTGCGTCGCATTCAGTTATATATCACCTCAGTCTGACGCTGATAGTATGATCATGTATAGTGAGTTTGGCTTCAAACTTTTCCATTTTATTGGGAAGAATAGTCGTTGAAGTCCCTCATGTGGAGACGGGAAGGGACTATCAGGTCGTCCGTGAGTATTTCTGCCTCTTCTTTTCTTCACAAAGCTGATCACGGTGGCTAGTATTTGGAGACTCTGGAAACTTCTCTCCCTTCTTCACCATCACGAACGTCTAAGGAACCCGAGCCCCTCGCTCCCGCTTTTGAATATTCACTTTCATCTACAACAGACTCTCAATAGACGCTGGACAACCATGCAAACACCATGTATTTCTCGCCTTTATGATCTATTGTATCATGTAAATTAATTTCTACTAATATGTACCATGTATTATCATGTACTCTGTAACAGCAGCATCATTTACATTGATTTCAATTCATCGAACCATCTACGCCAAAATTTCTTTCATAATGTCAATAATTCGGTTGACCTCCTGCACGGTGTTGTAGTGCACCAAGGAAATACGGACAACGCCATCGTCAACGTCGAGCTTGGGTGAAAGATCATCGACCAAGGTGTAAGCATAGAAATGACCGTATCGAATGCCAACCTGTCACGGATGTTTAAAAAAACGATTCTAGGGAATGATCCTCTGAAACGCACCCCGCCTTTTTGGTCAAAAACGTTGACGATATCCTTACTCTTCATCGGCCTCTGCCCGACAACAACAAAGCTAATGGTCGGCGCACGGGTCAGGTCAGCTGTAGCTTTTCCAATAACTCTGACGCCTCTCTCGTACTGAATATTGTCCGTTAGGAATGATAACAGAGGCTTCACGAGATTCTGCTCGTGAAGAGCAATGGCGTCAAAAGTAGCCTGCAGGTCGTTGGCCGGCGTTAATGATAGGAGGTACGCGAGAACTCCGGTAGTGCCATAAACGATCTCGTAACCAGCCCCCCCAGGTTGTAATTTGTACGCCACTGTGTCAACTTTGAGAAAATGGTGGACAATAGATGATACAGAGGTTTCTAGCACGGATGCCCGGACGTAAAGACATGAAATGTGAGGTCCATAAACCTAGAATCATTGATCAGGTAAGAGGAACGTGCCCGGCAAAATTCTGACCTTATAAAATGAAAATACACAGAAGTCGACGTCCCAATCTTGGACATCTATACGCCTGCATCTGCAAAACAACTATTGACTACAGGTGTCTACATAGCGTCGGGTAGCTTTGGAGACCTGGAGCAACGTACCCCTCTATCATAGTGCACCATAGAAGGTGTGTTCCTCAGCAGTGCTCCTGAGCAATGGGAGACTCATACTGTACTAATACGACCATGCCTTTGCATCACGCATCACAGAGGTCTCTGAAGGAAGTGAAGTGAGCGTGATGTCACACATCACACTGGCTTTTGAAGCCATTCCTGGCATTTTAAAATATCCATTTTTTCTAATTTTTCTGGTGCCTGCGGCGCCCTAGCCATGTAAACAGCACTCGGCATATTTCATCTACTTCTAACAAAAATTGTCCCACCATCTAAGATTTTTCTGCATGTACAACATTGTTTTAAATTTCAAATCGACGATGGCCCCTGTTCGGACGAAGAGCTCATACTCTTCGTCACACATCACATCGGATATTGAAGTCATGAAGAGATGGTCAAAACGTGTCACGCCCAAAAGGGCCAGAAGAGATGGTCGTATTAGTACAGTAGTGCCATAGTACCATAGCAGCTGTAGCACTCCATAGTCAGATCTCGTAGGCAACACAGTCCACCGAGATCTCGACCTTCTCGGCACCCTGAGCTTTCGCTTCAGCTCTGATAGCCTTGACAATTTCTTTGACAGGCAAGATTGATCCGAGAATATTGGAGCAAGCGGTAATTGCGACAATGCGCGTCTTCTCGGATATGAGTGGGATAAGTTCATCAACCTTCAGACTGACAGAGTATGGATTGTCGTCGGACGTCGGAGTGGCTTGCCAATATTTAACTGTGGCACCTCGACGATCGGCGAGCTTCTTCCAAGGACCCACGTTGGCTTCGAGTACCGTCTGAATCAGCTCGTTTTATCCTAATAATTAACTGCTTCTTGCTTACCTTCATGTTCCCCTGTCACAATAAACCCATCACCAGGCTGTATATCTTTCTCCAAACCTCTGGCCAAATTTTCGAGATTCAAAGTCGAACTGCTGCCGAAAACTATTTCATCAGGAGATGTCGCGTTCAAAAGTTTCGCCGCTTCAGTCGGCCCTTCAGCCAGGACTCTACTGGTACTCCGTAGCGAGACCGAATAATCCGCGCCTAACTGAACATTCGTGTTGAGGAGGTAATCGCTGATCCTATCAACCACCTCCTTAGCTGCTAAGTGTCGTACGTCTCCCCCCACCTAAGGCATGACACTTATTAGTGATTGAACCCTTCTAAGGCCCATTGTTTGGCAACGGGTAATAGACCTCCGAGGCCTTAGTCACTTGCCATTGTTGATATAAATAGAGCAGATGGCATCAATCGGAAGGATCGAGATCTGTTGACAGTGTCTGGACACCTTCACAAAAAGTGGCATGGGCACTGGCGGCGCTTTCACCGGAAATTGGCATTGGTGTCTGACCGCGGTCACCACCCGAAGCGCTTACTCAACAATAACTCATGAAGTTCAACATTTATGTAATTCATTCCTTCTCATTTTTTCACTTGACTTCCACGGTGCTCTGGCTATGCAATGGCATCTCGACGTTCTCAGCAACCTCACACAGGAGGGGTCGGCAAAGTGTTCGTAAGCCCCATAAAGCGACGCGCGAAAAAGAAAACTACCACGATCGCCAAACACCTAGGGCAAGACAAGAAGATAAGCGAACTAAGAAAAAAGTTGGAAATTCTGCAAAACTCGCGATTCAAAACTCCAGAGAGGGACCTGGACAGGTAGGCGTCGGACTGGGCTGGCCTGGAAGTTTGATATAGATCAAGTTTAGATTTGAGGTGGAGGAAACACCACCCTTCATCGATGAGCAGGTTCAATGCCAAGAGGACACTAGTGGCTACCACTTTATTTCTATAACCTAGACCCAAGCCTAGAGGGTCATTTCTATAACTTAGACTTAAGCCTAGAGGCCATATCTATAATGCTTAGGATTTTTTGAAAGGCATTTCAAATGTAGGCCTGGGTATTTCATAGTGAATTTTCCATAGATACCCTGCGCATTTTCTGCGAAGTTTCAAATGCAGCCCTGGATATTTCATTGCGATTTTTCAATAGATACCCTTGGTATTTCATTGCGATTTTTCAATAGATACCCTGGGCATTTCATTGCGATTTTTCAAATGTATCCCTGGATATTTCATTGCAAAATTTCAATGGATACCTGGCGCATTTCATTGCGATTTTTCAATAGATACCCTGGGCATTTCATTGCGATTTTTCAAATGTATCCCTGGGTATTTCATTGCGATTTTTCAAATGTATTCCTGGGTATTTCATTGCGATTTTTCAATAGATACCCTGGGCATTTCATTGCGATTTTTCAAATGTATCCCTGGATATTTCATTGCAAAATTTCAATGGATACCTGGCGAATTTCATTGCGATTTTTCAATGGATACCCTGGGCATTTCATTGCGATTTTTCAAATGTATCCCTGGGCATTTCATTATGATTGTTCAAATGATACCCTGGGCATTTCATTGCGATTTTTCAAATGTATCCCTGGGTATTTCATTACGATTTTTCAATAGATACCCAGGGCATATCATTGCGATTTTTCAAATGTATCGGATATTTCATTGCAAAATTTCAATGGATACCTGGCACATTTCATTGCGATTTTTCAATAGATACCCTGGGCATTTCATTGCGATTTTTCAAATGTATCCCTGGGTATTTCATTGCGATTTTTCAAATGTATCCCTGGGTATTTCATTGCGATTTTTCAATAGATACCCTGGGCATATCATTGCAATTTTTCAAATGTATCCCTGGATATTTCATTGCAAAATTTCAATGGATACCTGGCGCATTTCATTGCAATTTTTCAATACATACCCTGGGTATTTCATTGCGATTTTTCAAATGTATTCCTGGGCATTTCATTGTGATTTTTCAAATGTATCTCTGGGGATTTCATTGCGATTTTTCAAATGTATTCCTGGGTATTTCATTACGATTTTTCAATAGATACCCTGGGCATATCATTGCGATTTTTCAAATGTATCCCTGGGTATTTCATTGCGATTTTTCAAATGTATCCCTGGGTATTTCATTGCGATTTTTCAATAGATACCCTGGGCATATCATTGCGATTTTTCAAATGTATCCCTTGGCATTTCATTGCGATTTTTCAAATGTAGCCCTGGGCATTTCATTGTGATTTTTCAAATGTATTCCTGGGTATTTCATTGTGATTTTTCAAATGTATCCCTGGATATTTCATTGCAATTTTTCAAATGTATCCCACATGTCAGGGTCCATGCAATGGGCTTCCCTGGATGGTGGTCACATGACCAATTACCAAAAATGGTCAAAAAACGAAAGTTGTAGCCCTACACTGTAGCTTCCCGAATCCGTTTGAATTATGTTCTGAAGTGCTCCCGTTGTGGAGATATGAGGTAAAGGAATTTCAAAAGCATCGCGTTTTTTTTTTTTTTTGTGTTTTTCTCTATGAAAACAAAACCAAATAACATGATTTCAGTAAATTCAGAAAGCTAAAAGAAAGGGCTACAATTATTGTATCGTGGGAAAAATGACCAAAAAAGGAAGGTGCATCCCGTACTATAAGAATCAGATATAGACTACCAAGTTTACTGATAGACTACAAAAAAGTCGGACTTAGACTACACAGTTTACTGATACACTATAAAAGACTACAAAAGTCGAACTTAGACTACAAAAGCGTGGACTTAGACTACATAGTTAGGGTTAGAGTCAAAAGGTTATCTTGACTACAAAGTTTGTAGTGTGCGCTTTTTCATTAAAAAAGTTTGTAGTGTCCGCTTTTTGAGACTACAAAAGTTGTAATGTTGCGCTTTTTCATTAAAAAAGTTTGTAGTGTCCGCTTTTTGAGACTACAAAAGTTGTAGTGTTGCGCTTTTTCATTAGAAAAGTTTGTAGTGTCCGCTTTTTGAGACTACAAAAGTTTGTAGTGTTGCGCCTTTTCATTAGAAAAGTTTGTAGTGTGCACTTTTTTATTAGAAGAGTTTGTAGTCTCTGCTTTTTCATTTAAAAAAGTTTGTAATTGACATGTAGTTTATGGTGTCCTTGGCCCTATCTATGTTATGGGGATGAGGTTGAAGGATTGCCATCATATTGCCAGTGCTGCAGCATTAGTATTTGACATCATGCACAAGTTGTCTTTCACATTAGGAAAGGCCATTCTATGTCTTTCATATTGATACCTACTGTCCTATCTCAAGACATAATTGTAAGCTCATATGGGGATATGGCTGAAGGATTGACATGACTTTACATATTGCTATTGCCACATCATCAGTTCCTCACATCATGCCCAAGTTGGCTTTCAAGCTAGAGAAGGCTATTCATGTTGATATCTACTCAATACATGGTCAACTTACAACATGACCTGTC